AGGCAAGCTCACAAGGATTACACACCATCTAGGTAAGTACATAAGGGTTACTCCTATACACACCATCTAGGTAAGCACATAATGGTCACGTATATATTCACCATATAGGTAAGCACATAAGGATTGCGCCTAATCACCGTCTAGGTAAGCACATAACGGCTACTCCTACTCACCATCTAGGTAAGCTCACAAGGATTACGCCTATACACACAATTTAGGTAACCACATAAGGGTTATATTCACCATCTAGATAAATACATAAGGGTTATGTCTACTCACCATCTAGGTAAGCATATGAGGGTTACTCCTATACACACCATCTAGGTAACCACATAAGGGTTATATTCACCATCTAGATAAATACATAAGGGTTATGCCTACTCACCCTTATAGGTAAGCATATGAGGGTTACTCATATACTCACCATCTAAGTAAGCACATAGCGGTTACTCCTATACTCACTATCTAGGTAAGCTCACAAGGATCACTCCTACTCACCATCTCGGTAAGCACACTAGGGTTACTTCTGTGCTCACGAGTTAAATAAGCACATAAGGGTTACTCCTATACTCACCATCTAGGTAAGCACACAAGGGTTACTCCTATACTCATCGTTTAGGTAAGCACATAAAGGTTACTCCTATACCCACCATCAAGGTAATCACGTAAGAGTTACTCTACACAACGTATAAAGTACATAAGGGCTATTCCTGCTTACTGTCTAGATAAGCACATGTAGGGTTATCACTACTCATTGTCTTAGCAAGTAAACAAAGATTCCTTTTACTCATCGTCTAGGTAAGTATATAAAAGGAGCACCTAATCAGCTACAAAGTAAGTACAGAATTTGTTTAGTATGATTATTTTTTCTCACTATATCGTTAAGTTCAGATTGATAATTTTATTCTCTGTGTAGGTAAATAGTTTAAGTAACTCTTTTTCTTTCTTAAGGTAAATACAGAAGTAATATTCTTGCTAATTATTATTATTATTTAAATAACATGGTGTACGCTTCGGTTTTATTTATTTAGACACACTTGTAAGACATGGATGGAAATAGGTCAAATGCAATGGAAACATTGAAAGTCAGTCGATTTGAGTTTTACGACAATATGTTAAATTTCAAACTAACAGCAGTTTATATCCTTACATACCAACAGAACTAATAAAAATTAAACGATTACAATATATGTGTATATAGTTCGCCAAAAGTATTTACTTTCAAAATTCACAATCTTATGGGGACAAATCAAACCTGGTAGGCTTCAGTCAACCCTTGTAAAGCTAAGTTACTTCTCTTTAGGTTACTTTACTTCTGTTGTACACAACATTTGGTAAATATTGTTACGTCTCCGTTTGTTAGTTAATTTTCCGTAACTTCGTTCCGACGAAACTTTAGCGACACAGGTCCTTTCTTAAATAAAACTGGTTTATTCTTTTTTAATATAACTTTGTGATACACTTAATTTCAACAGTCGCGCTATAACAAACGTCTCACGTGCACAACTTCAACAATACTCAGTTCAATTACACACTCTCTGACTGCAGTTCAATTACTCCTTACACTGTTCCGTCACGTTGTGAGCATCTTATATATACCAGGCTACCCCCAATCTAGTAGTCTCCCGATAATTCATGAAGGTTCGAGGAAGGACGTGGCGGGATACTAGTCGAGTGACCTCGCTGACGCAACACTGCCCCCTCCTTAGGATTGTTCGTCCCGAACAACAGCCACTTACAATAAACCAATAACAATTAACAGTAACTTAATTAAATGTACAGAATTACAAACATAAAATTACAATTCAACAAAGTCTCTTAATTTTACGGGACGTATCTTCTTCTGTACTGGTCTCCATCTCGTTGGCTTCTGCTTCACGTGGAGTTCATCTGCTTCATCAGGAAATGTCCTATCGTCAGTAACAGTCACATCAGTGGTAGTAACTTCATCAAGAGCTTCACCATTTCTCTTCTCAAAATTGGTAGAGTTTCTTCTTCAACATTGGCTTTTTTAGGTGACACGTCTTCAGCAGCGTCATTTGTTCCTTTGTTCACTTTGTCCCAACTGAAATGTCCTGGACCGTGATAATGCCAAAGCCTGTTGGCATGCGCCACTTTTGGCTTACCTCGCCAACCACATTTTATCCGGAAAGTCAC